AGATGCCTTCAAAAAAAAAAAAATTAAAACTTTATCGATGATTCAATACGTGATGAGGCTCACAAGCTTCTCTCTCTGTGTCATTTTATATCTGATTCGTATTAGTGTGAAAATATTTCTATTGCTATTCATAGACGAATAAATGAATTCGTATCAATCGAAATTGCTCTTTTTATTTGCTTTGGCAGGACAAATTGGATTTTTTTTATGACTTTGAAGTTTGGATATGATTTTTATAAAATTTATATCACACGATGACAAAGTTCATTTCAAACAGGTCAGATTCTATTAAAAATATGTTAAAAATCTCTTTATGATCAAAGCTTGTCGCATCATTTTGCGAACGTGGGAAAGGTTAATGGCAATAGGTCACTAGCCTGTGCAATATGTTTGTTATCTCTCGTTTACGGTGACATAGTATATTCAACAGAATATTGAGGTATTATGATCTCATGAATTCCAACGTTGCACATGAATTTTTTATACATTCGTTCAATGTCTGATAGCATAATGATCCAAATAGAAGAAGAGGAATTAATTGCAACAAAGATAAAATTTTGTAGTCATCATTATATAGTTGTGCATCATCATTTGTGAACCTTTCGACATTTCAACTTTGCTTTGCTTTGTGATATTGATATTTTGATGAATCCAAAAAAAATGATAGATAACTAGAAATAAATATTATTCACGATTTTTGTTTTCAGGTTGTTTGAGTTGTGTGAGAAGATTTCGAGAATTTTAATGAATTTTAATTTTATTTTTTTTTGTCATGCTTATGATGAATATTAAGGAAGGGGAGGGAGTCGGTTGGTGTGTGAAACCGATCCTTTCAGCCATTCTATGTCATTTTAATTAGCCTAAAATGCTATTAACCAATCAGAATAACACAAACTATCATCAAAACTATAAATTTTCTATTTGTGGATTTCATTTCAATTAAATTAATTACAGATCACAAAATCAACGATGCCACAGCAAAACAAAAGCTAATTATCAATTGAATATTCAGCACCAAAAAAATTAAATTTTACCTCATTTGATAAATTAATCTCAATCAAAAATCAATCAAATTTCCGCTCACAAATAAACTTCATAAGCCACGCAAGTGAGAGAGAAAAATTATTCAAATTATTTCAAACAAAAAGTTTCACGCTCATTTAAAATTTAATCATCATGAAAGAATTCACGAAGCAGCAAATGTCATAAATAATTTTCCTCGAATCTCTAAATTGCACACGTTACTTTTCACATTATTAAAAGTAATAATTCATACGGCTTTATTTTGCAGATATATTTTTGGATGAGAAGCATTAATAAAGCAAGTGCGTGTCTCCTGCTGGTTTAAGACGCTTTGAACTAGTTTTTGAAATATTCTTGAACCTTACAACAGTTTAATGATCCCAAATCGATAATGATTTGAAGAAAAACTGACATCCAATTGTCATCATCATTCCTTAGAAATCCAGCTAAAAACCAGAAAAGACAGAAAAAAATGTTTGTGATTGATTAGTCTCATTTGAAATGCTGTAATAATGTGACATAAATCCTCAATGTTTGCATGAGCAAATTTTCGTCATAATAGAATATATATCTGCACAAGTAAAAGCAGTAACAGAACGTTAGGGAGAACATTTTGGACATTAATTTATTCTAAACTTATTGAAGTGTAATATTTTATGTCCCGTTATCTCATGCTGAACATAAAATTTTTTTAGCAGTACCTGGCTTATTCTTGTTTTCTGTTCATGATGATTCTATTGTTGCGTGTGTTGTTGATTTTTTGGTATGCCTTTGAACCAAATGAATAAAGAATGGAAGAAGATTTGAGGGTGTGAATGTTGCTTTTTTTGAGATTTATGCTTTCTGCTGTAGCATATGATGATCGTTTTGCAATTAATGCGAATGTGTGAAAAATTTCTCATATAAATGACTGAGAAAACCTTGAATGATGATTAGAATGAAGCATAAATCAGCAGTTTAGTCGTATTTTTGGAATTCGTTTGCTTCATTCTAACAAAAACTGAAGCTGAAAAGGATGCTAGAGTCCTTAATATCCCGAACAGGCAGAAGGTTTCTAAGGATTGAGCTGTCTTCAGACAACTTCTAAGCGCGGCAATGGGCCCACGTGCGCTCCAGCCAAGGAAGTAAGTCTCCTGAAAAGCTTAAAATAAGAAAAAGGATCGCGAAAACCGTGTTAAGCTAGAATAAAGCTTTTCATCGTTCCATATCTGCAAAAAAAACCACGCGAACGATTTTAATAACACATTATAAATCTCACAAGAACAGCAGCAGAAGCAAAAAAATCGTGCAGTTTTCTTTTTTTTTCTTCTTCACGACCGCATAATTTATGCTCCCCCAACTCGATACGACATAATTCCTCAGCCTTTTCACATTTCATGCATACAAACAAACACAATAAAACATAAGAGAGTGCGAGAATACCCTTATCAAATTTGTCACGAAATTGTTGCTCATCTTTCACTGCAAAATTTAATTTTTCTTCACTTTTTTTCTTGCTTCCGTCTTTCTTTCTCTTCCTTATTTTTTTTTTATCAAACCAGCAACAAGATGAGATATTTTGAGGTTTTAAAAAAAAAATGGTGAGTACAACGCATTTGTTTTGCGAAATCCCTAAATGACAAGAGATACTTAGAATCGAATCGAGAGGAAATGGAGATGAAGCAATGAAATTTATGCAATTTGCCTTTTGCTGTTGAAGATTTTCTTTAAATTAAGGTATTTTGGCTCCATGAAGTGGGTCTTTAGGATTCTATAAGAATAAAAAGCACAGTCTAGATTTTAATCAGCATCTTCAAATGGACAAAAAGACATGAAAAATGATATCAGCACCTCCAAAATCCAAGCACACAAAGATGAAAAATAAAAATTCTCTCTATTATTTTCAGTTCCTCGTGTAGTTTTCATTCCGTAACGTAAAAAAAAATACAACAACAACGTATCGTCATCATCGTCATCATTTTTGTTGTCATCGTCGAAAAAGGAAGAAGAAAATTTGCTCAAATTCACAAAGTTTCCATGCAATTTGCATAAATGATGATGCTGTAATATCACGGCAATAAATTAACTTTTTTTCTTATTCTTCTTCTTCCGTTTTGCTCTCATGATGCGTTATGGTAGGTTTAAGGAAGTTGAGGATATGTTCAAGTGGGAATTTTCAGAGCATTGAGGATTTTTCTTCTGGGTGCAATTTTATAAAATATACAAAAATAAAAATTTTTAACTTAGAAATTATTCATTCCAATGAGTTCCTTAATATTAAGGAGTATACGTGCTCGTGGGTGTTGAAATGAATTTTTATTATTAACTCTTGAAATAATGAAGCAAACGAGACGAGTTTGATATCAAAGGAAATTTTCATCATGAACTTACTTAATTAAATTTTCATTGTTCGCAATTTAGTTACGAATATGTAATTATGTGCTACATTTATGAGGGATATTGATGTAGGAAAATTTGATTTAATTTTCATATGTAATGTCAAACATTTTTAAATTGAATAATTGAAGTTCATGAGCTAAGGGGGCTCTGTTGCGTGGTGCTGGCTCGAAGATCATATCAAGAGTAGATAGGCCTCAGCATAGGTTAGGTTGTAATTGTATGACGGATAGCCGAAGTGAGACAAATAACTCGGTAACCGAGTGGCAGGGAGCAGAAGATCGAGTGTTCAGAGATCGCCTCTTTTGAGGTCGTGGGTTCGATTTTTATCAAATCCGACTTGAATTTATAAGCCAATATAGACATGCAGCAGTTATAGAGAGATCTATACGTGAAACCTGTGAAAAATTCTAGTGAAACTGTGTAAGGCTAGTGTAGATCCTAAAAAACATTGACATCAATTCCTGCAATTTAAAGCTCTCGTGTCACCTTGCTGACATTTTTCGATGATAATCTTATTTCCGTCCCATTCACTAATTTTCTATTTTCAGCTCAACACTTTGCGACACGAGCTTTCACACGTACTCATATTTTCATTTCATTACATCATCCAATCATCAACACAATAAAAAGGAACAAAAAAGAGTACAGAACAATGAAAATTAATGATACAACAAAAATACATTAATAAATATACTGCAAATTGACATAAATGTGTTTTTGATTGATCAATTAATGAATGAGTTGAGAGAGGAAAAAAAGAATCGTTCAATTTGTATTAAAAGCTATTTATCATTTCAACCGTGTGTCTGCTTATGGATTTGAGATTCACGATGGGAATAAAAAAATTTTGTATTATTTTTATAAATTTATTTCCTATTCAGAGTTAAAAAAAAGTGTTAAGTTTAGATTTCGACTGTCACAATAAATCGATATTCATTTCCTTATTTTTTTTTTTATTTTCTTCATTCTACGATTAGGCTCTATTCCATAGTCTAATGCTCCAAATTTCTTTCTCACTTCTTCATTGGATATAAATCTTCTTTTGATTTTGGTTCTTATGTATATATGAGTTAAGTATGGCAATGAGAATGGATAGCGATGAAAGAGAATCAAAGGAAGTTTGTAATATTTTTGGAAATTACTGAATTTTAACGCTTTATTTGAACTTCCTTACAAAATATTTTTGACTCATCTTGTGGACTGGTTTCTAGGGCTATCGAAGGTTCAAAATTTGACTCTTATCAAAGAGTTCAAAAGAGGTTCAAAAAGCTAGTCTCTGGAGCTTTAGTGAATATCAAGTTTCGAAAAATTCAAATTTATAAAAAAATTTCACCTAAACCTCAACTAAAGCACTTCACCAAAGAAAATACAGCTTCAAACAAAAAAAAACTTCTTACTGCAAAATCGCATTAATATTGACATTTTCCACATCCCCATACCTCCATGCAATTTAAAAGCAATTTAAAGACGATTTGGAGAAAATTTCTTCCATGTGGCAATAAATTTTCCTGTTTCATCCTATTTTGAAGGAGATATTGTGTAAAGTGAGAAGGAAAAGCTTTAAATAAAAAAAAATAAAAAAAAAGAAGTGAAGAAAAATGGAAATTGGAAGTGAGTGAGAAGGAGGTTCTCAACAGGGAATATCTTTTGTCTGCATTAATAGCTTTATTTCTCATACAACTTCTCTCCCACCAAACCCAATTGGCATGACAGGCATAAAAAAAAAGTTCGTATTTGAGTTAAAAGGCAATTGATGTGTCAATAGATTGAAATGAGAATGAAAATGGAAAAAGTTTTTCATTTTTATATTTCTCGTCTGTGCTGAGTGGATGAGGGAAAAAAATGGAAAAGGGTTGAGGGAAAAATATTAAACGACTGAAATATTTCTAAGAATATTTGCCAATTGTGTGGCCATGCTATGGTATGGAAGATTTATTCCTCTTTCTTTACATTTTTTTTTGTATTTGAGGAGGGTCGGAAGAAAAGCTTGTGGAAGGAAAAAGCTCATGAAAACCTGAAGTCATGCTGTAAGAAGGATATCATCATGAAAACTATACAAGCATGGACAATCGGTTTTGTGGAAGGATGAAAAATTGACATGGGTTTAGATAATGACATTTAAACTTTTCAGAATTTTTGGAAGTGGAAGAAGCAGGCAGGAAATAAATGCTGTTTCTGGATGGAAAATCTGTGGTTGATTTTTCTCGACAAAACTATTAAAGAATTTTAGATTCAAAAATTGTAAATTTAAAATTCAGTTATATGCTGTCAACTGGATCGTTTTATGAAAATTTAAGCAACAGAAAAACCAAATTAATTAATTAAATGAACAAACCTTCTTGGAAGATTCATGTTAAAGATGATTGTAATTTAACTTTTGTTACAAAAGGTTGTAAAATGTGGTAAAAGGTTATAAATCCTTTCTTTTAAAGACATCTTTTATGAGTAATCAGAATTAAAGTGCAGCAGACAATGGTTGCAAAAATGCAGAACAATTCATATCTAAATGAACCTCGATCGTCTATAGACGATAATGACCAGGGGCGTAGCCAGAAAAATTTTAAGGGGGGGCCCATTTTCGAAAATAAAAAAACCGTCATTTTGTATCCTTAAATCTATATTCATTCTTCATAAGTTTAAATATTTAATTCATTATTCATACATTAAATTCAATTTTCCGTGCTGATTTTGACATTTCTTTCATCACTTCCTCTACATTAACTGGTTCTTCTCTATAAATACTTAATAAAGCAATTATCAGATTTTCGTAGGGGGGGCCCGGGCCCCCTATGGCCCCCCCCTGGCTACGCCCCTGATAATGACTCAGTCCTAATAATGATAATCGATGCATAAAAATTTGCAGTAAAACTTAAAAAATCAGTTTCAGTTGTGAACTGCCACAAAAACTTTACATTCTCAATGTTCTTGTGTCTTAATTATGCACATATATTCACACTTGATTCATAATTTCATTTACTATGTACATTGAATTATACACAGCATTTCCATATTCATTTTGATATTTGAGTGTGTAAATAAAATTAAAATTTAATTTTACATTCATAAATTTATTGATTTTAACATTGTGGATATGCACAAACCTAAATTCCCACATTTTGATTATTTCATGTTTTTGATTTATTTACTGATGCTTTGATAAAGAAAAATATTTGCGCTGTTTATCGCTAATGCAATTTAATTAACGAGCTTTGCTTTAAAATTTTTTAAGGTTTGTTCACTGAAATTCGATAGTTTAAAAATTTAAGATTAGTTTAGGGGCCGTTCACTTATTACGTTACGCAAAAAACTGACTTTTTTCATCCCCCTCCCCCTCTTGTTACAACATGTTACAACTCGCAACCCCCCCCCCCCCCCCCCCCCCCCCCGAACGTTCATAATTCAAATTTTTTTCGTGCAATTTTTTTTTAAAAGACAGACGACAGTTAAAACGTTACATTCTTCTTGACACCCCCCCCCCCCCTCCCCTATGTTACATTTTGTTACAATTTTTCAAACCCCCCCTCCCCCCTAAAATGCGAACGTAATAAGTGAACGGCCTCTTAGTTCATTTAAGAAAATCTTGCATGCAAAAACAAGTAATGAGCAATTAAATGCCATTAAATTACAAAAATACCTTAAATAAGACGGCACCGCATAGCAGTTGATAGATCTTTAAATAAGAGACGAGGCTGTAGATTTTGAAGATTAAAGACTTTGAACATGTTAAAGCCCACTCGATTTAGATTTCAAATCAATTACATAAAGCAACCAAACTTAGTGTCTAATCATCAAACTACATTCACATTTTAATTTTTTCCCATCAGAATTGTTAAATAATTTTAATGCATTAAAGTTTCTGAACTGATTGTCAATATTTTTTTCATTCAGTTGTTGAGTTGAAGCTGAGTTGAATGGATCAACGATTAAAAGATTTACTCCAAAGAAAAGCAGAAGTTGAGCTCCGTGAAACTGAACTACGGAAAAAGCAATCATTAGAACAGTTTCGAGAATGGTTAAAGAAGCATCCTTATTTGAAGAGAACAAGGCAAGGTAAGTTAACAACAAATCCATGAAGCAGAGCTCGAAGTCGACTGGAGTTTACTCAAGTCAAATCCCTATCGACTTCAAGCTCTGCCATTAAGAGTGAACATTTAAATCCTTTATTTACAATATAGATGACAATTACCTCACAATATTTTTACGTACCAAGAAATACAACCTCAATGAAGTTTTTAAATCTTATGAGAAACAATTCCTGTTTCGACTTAAGTGTGCAAAATGGTTTGACTTAAGTGACGATAAAGTTGTGGCTCGTTTAAGAAGTCACATTGAATGTGGATCTAAATATGTCATTAAAGATTATTCATCTACAGAACCAATAATATACATACAAAGATTTGAAAAGTTTGATGTCCAAAAATATCCAGTCACTGACATATTTTATTCTGACTTTTCATTATTTGGTGCTTGCTTGGAATTAGATAAAGCTCAAATTTGTGGATTCCGGTTAATTACAGATTTTACGAATGTTCCAATGTCTGTATTTACATCAGTGACATTAAGTGAAGTTCTTGATTGGGCTAGAGCAATAATTTCATGTCCTGGACGCTACAAACAAAATATTTTAATTAATATTCCTACAATTGCGATGACTTTTTACAACATCGTGTCAATGATATTGCCAGAAAAATTAAGAAAAAGGCTTGTTATAGTGAAAAATTATGAGGAACTGAAGAATTTAATGGATGTGTCAAAATTACCTGAAGTGTTTGGTGGTGACTGTGATGAAGATGTTTATATTGATGAAACTTTAAAGATTTTTGATGAAAAATTGGATTTAATAAGAGAATCGAATGACTATGAAATTGATGTTTCGCAATTTGGAGGAAAGCTTCATAATGATGAAGTTGGGAGCTTTAGAAAATTGGAAATAGATTAAAAGTAATGTAATTTATGGTTTCTCTTTGTACAAACTTTTTGTTCCGTTCTGATGAATGTAATAAGCAAATTACTACATGGCTGTCATAACTGTTGCTATCATAATAAAATATGTATTAGCTTATGCATATTTAATGTTAAAAACAATAAAGGAATGTCAATAAAATCAGTAAAAAACATCACTCAAAGCATTATTTTAAAATTCCATAACAATTTATTCGTTCTTAAATAAAAAAACTATACGGCAATCCCATCTAGTAAGACATCATTTCTTATATCAAGATAGAATGTTGACTGAACAACTCAAAGAATATTTCCTTAAAGCTTTATAGTTCAATCCGTTATTTCATTTTTTAAATAATAAACCCCTATGTCTACATGGCAACACATCAGGAGAAGTAAATAAATAATAACCTTTCATCGAATCATTTTTGTAAGCTTTTAATACTGATGAATATATTTTTGTAAACAAAATCCTTAAATATTTACTTTAATTCCTCCTTTCTCTAATTGCTTTTTTGATTACGGGTCGTTCACTTATAACGTCCATCAAAAAACCTGATTTTTAGACCCCCCTCCCCCCCTCTGTCACAAAAATTCCATAGAAATAAATTTCCATTGTTTTTTCCATTGCACAAAATCCTAGACCCCCCCCCCCCCTCCCCCCTGAAATGTCGGACGTCATAAGTGAACGGCCCCTTATGTGAATATGGACTGGAATTCTGATCTCATGAGGTAATATTTTCATATTTTTTTGCAAAAAAGAATTTCAATCATTTTTTTCCTTTGAGAATTTTTTCCTTTGAATTTTTTTTTGGGATTTGAACTCTGGAAAAAAAATATTTGACTTGTTCACCCACCCGCACAACCCAATAAGCACTAACAAATCAAATATTAAAGTTTTCATATGACAATTGCTTAATTTAAGTTGCTAATTGATTTATTTTGATATAATTGGGCATTTTTGATCAACAGAAGGCACTTTTATGGAACCAAAATCAAATTTTAACATTCAGCGTATAAAGCTGCATCGATTTAAAAAATTTTTAAAGTTTATAGATTACAGGAAACAGTACTTTTGGGCATTTTTATGCTTTTTTTCATACATTTTTGCAAAAAAAGAATTTCAATCATTTTTTCCCTTTGAGAATTTTTTCCTTTGAAATTCTTTTTTTGGGATTTGAACTCTGGAAAAAAAATATTTGACTTGTTCACCCACCCGCACAACCCAATAAGCACTAACAAATCAAATATTAAAATTTTCGTATGACAATTGCTTAATTTAAGTTGCTAATTGATTTATTTTGATATAATTGGGCATTTTTGATCAACAGAAGGCACTTTTATGGAACCAAAATCAAATTTTAACATTCAGCGTATAAAGCTGCATCGATTTAAAAAAATTTTAAAGTTTATAGATTACAGGAAACAGTACTTTTGGGCATTTTTATGCTTTTTTTCATACATTTTTGCAAAAAAGAATTTCAATCATTTTTTCCCTTTGAGAATTTTTTCCTTTGAAATTCTTTTTTTGGGATTTGAACTCTGGAAAAAAAATATTTGACTTGTTCACCCACCCGCACAACCCAATAAGCACTAACAAATCAAATATTAAAGTTTTCATATGACAATTGCTTAATTTAAGTTGCTAATTGATTTATTTTGATATAATTGGGCATTTTTGATCAACAGAAGGCACTTTTATGGAACCAAAATCAAATTTTAACATTCAGCGTATAAAGCTGCATCGATTTAAAAAATTTTTAAAGTTTATAGATTACAGGAAACAGTACTTTTGGGCATTTTTATGCTTTTTTTCATACATTTTTGCAAAAAAAGAATTTCAATCATTTTTTCCCTTTGAGAATTTTTTCCTTTGAAATTCTTTTTTTGGGAACTCTGGAAAAAAAATATTTGACTTGTTCACCCACCCGCACAACCCAATAAGCACTAACAAATCAAATATTAAAATTTTCATATGACAATTGCTTAATTTAAGTTGCTAATTGATTTATTTTGATATAATTGGGCATTTTTGATCAACAGAAGGCACTTTTATGGAACCAAAATCAAATTTTAACATTCAGCGTATAAAGCTGCATCGATTTAAAAAAAATTTAAAGTTTATGGATTACAGGAAACAGTACTTTTGGACATTTTTATGCTTTTTTTCATACATTTTTGCAAAAAAGAATTTCAATCATTTTTTTCCTTTCGATTTTTTTTCCTTTGAAACTTTTTTGGGATTTGAACTCTGGAAAAAAATAGCTGATTCACTCACCCAATTTAACATAAAATGCCACAAACTTCCACGATTGACTTAAATTACATAATATGTAAGTTGCAAAATTTCTCATATGAAGTGTAAATAAAATTAATAGATGTTTTCAATGCCTGTGAAAGGATACTTTTGATGGGAGTCTTAGCTATAGAAACAGAAAAGTACGAGCTGTGCGGAAAGAAACGAAGTTGAATGGAGCGGAGTAAAGTGGAGCAATTGTAAAATTTTTATGCAGAAAAATCCAGTATTCTAATACACACATTTTGATACCCTTTGAGATTTTTGAAAATCAGTCCTTCAAGCTTTGAAAAAAGTGGGCTTTGACCGAAACTTATAACTTACACGCTTTTTGCGTTGAAGTTTAAATGTTCATTCCCTAGCTACTCATCTCTGAACAACATGGAAAAAATCCATATAAAATTTAACCAAGGTCCATTTGAGGAACTTTTCTTCATTCTTTATCTACAGTAATGTAAATACCTCATTTCTCATATTTTTGCGAATAATTGGTTAACATAAATGCTGTAAGTAAGTATTTATAAGCATTAACATACATACACATGCATAAAACTCATATTTCTAATCCTTTATTACATCATTAATAATTAATTTTTCAATTATACTTATTTACCGCCATCACAGTCTTCAAATGAGCCGAAGCTCGTTTTTTATGTGCTATTTTCATTAGTATGGAGAGCTTTTATGTTAACATTGTTGAGAGGGTCTTCTTTTGTCTGGATGTCTGGGTATTTTCTAATATATATTTTCATATCCAGTAACACTGACCCTAGTATGAGAGGACCTTATGAACATTGGTGTAAAAAGGCGTCTTATTAATTATTAACCATCCTGTTTTCTACTCAATTCCATCTCGTTCACTCATGAGCTCTCAGCTTCCTTCCTTGTACAGTCAGTCGAAAAGAAGTGGGATTTAATCATTTTCATACATGTCCTATTTTTTTACTCCATTCTTTTGTGTTCCTTTGTTTTCTCAACTCACTATAAAAATCGTTAAATTTTTGATGTACTTCATAACAAAATATTTTATTTGCTTATGCTTTTCATTTTACGTTATGTACTGGATGAAATGAGCGATTGAGAGTCGATGTGGAAATTTTTATGATGATAATGGAGTGAGATTGCTGCTTTTATGGATGTAAGTACAGCTAATTATATTCTATAAACTTTATTGTTGAAGATTTAAAGTCCTCATTTTCATGCCATATTTTTTGGGGAAACTTTTTATCGTTCACTGTTTGTTGCTGAAGAGTTTTACACAATTTATGATCGTATTAAAGGAATTTATGTGAGCGTAAGGGATTTTTATATGAATATTTAATGTCACAAAAATGTGTATGAAGAATGTGAATATGGCTGGGTTTTAGAAAGCTGTTGAATTTGAGAGCTTTAAATCAATATTTTATTTTCAAAATCTCTCACATAACAAAATTGTGATTATTGATTAAAATCATAAAAAATAATTTGATTCCTAATAATTCCCACAGAAACTATTCAACTGAATAATTAAATAAATACAAATATTATTCATTAGTTAATGAATTATGAAATTTTGCAAATTTTAATTTGCGGATGAAAGGTCATCTACTTATGACGTGAATTTGAGCAGCTGAGGGGGGGGGGGGTCTAGAATTTTAATCATATTGCAAAAGTTATTGAAATTTTAATTGTGCTGAATTGGCTCGATGACGGTATGGCTTTGTATTTCGGAACCTAATTATTGCAATACCGACACAGCGATCATGGGTTCGAGTCTGGGTACGGGAAATTTTTAACTTATCCCTTTTCGATCATATGAACTGGAATTGAGGCTTATAGCCTTCCTTTGTATTCTACAGGCAGAAATGTCATCAAAGGAGTGGTTCGGATCCCACTATAAACTGTAGGTCTAGGTTTGAGTGCAGTGGTTTGACGCATCCTCACTCATTAGCTTTGGATCGCTCTAGCGCACCTTTGGATCACAATTGATCTACGCAAAGGTTTTTTTTTATTGAAAATTCAATTTTTTAAAATACAGACATCATTTATTAACATCCCACTAGAAAATAAATTAAACATCAATCCACTCCTAAAATATTCAAACACAAAAACCATAGAAACGCAATCAATGATCCCCATTCCACCAACATTTCACACCACAATTTTCAATCAATAAAATTAAATTAGCTTTACATCACATTCAATAGCACTCTCACATACGCACCGACACATATTTTTCTGTTATCATAATGATAAATGTGTAATGAATGTGATGAACACTCAAGATCATTAATTAATACAACTCATTGTTTGAAGCTTAAATTTCTCATGTTCATTATAAACATAATAGCAATTATGAAACAAAAAACATATCATTTGTAGATAATAGATTACAGGCACAAAAAGTGTTTATATGAGATAGTAATAATGATTGTGAGAATTATTTTAATTGGATTTTTTTCGAGTTTTACTTTGTGGCTGCGTGCGCTCAATTTCTGTTCTTCTTAAATTGCAGCATTATTTCTGGAATTAAATTTACTGCCATTTATATTAAAAGTGTTTAGGGGCCGTTCACTTATTACGTTCACATTTTAGGGGGAAGGGGGGTTTGAAAATTTGTAACAAAATGTAACATAGGGGGGGGGGGGGTCAAGAAGTATGTAACGTTTCAACTGTCGTCTGTCTTTTAAAAAAAGTTCACGAAAAAAAATTGTTTACAAATT